AAATAAAAAAAAAAAAATAAAAAACACAAATTAGAGACTATAATTTTGAGGCTCATTGTTAAGTTCTTGGAGGTGGGAAAAACTGCGTACCCGCCACAAACGCGCTTAACGGCGTGGGATAAACCGACTGGTCGATAACTGCCGTCATATTCTGGCTGCTGGGGGCATCAGCTATGAGGCCTAGCGGCTGTGATCCGAGGGAGGAGCCCTCACCTCCCGGTAAGCTGTAGCGGCTTTTTGGGCCTTGATCGTATAAAATTCCCTTGAAAACGTGTCCTCCTATCTTTACCGCCGTTTGGTAAGCCAGATGCTCCTCTGCCTCATCCACCGCGCTCACTCTCACGCACCGGAAAGTCGCCGGCGAACTTACTTCTGCCGGAAAGTGTCCCAACTCAAACCCTAGCGCCACCATAAACAATCACAGTATAACTAAAATCAGAAAAAAAAAATAGTAATCAGAATATATATGCTTTCCAAGTAGATGAGAAAATTCATTTTTTTTTTGTCCTTAATTGTTGTTTTTCTCATCCTAAACTTATAAAATCAAAATTATATTGATTTTTTTATCACTTTACATTATTACATTAATAAAAAAAGTGAAAAAAAAAACTAACCATCTTATTTTTCTCAATCATTAACCTAGCTATTGCTCAACTAATTAATTAATTAATTTCTCCAATTTTTTTTTTCTTCTTCGAAAAATAATACTATAAAACAACAATAATAAATCCGCTCCATATCCAAAATCAACATCACCTGACGCCGCGCCGGCGCCGGCTGCAGCCTGATTCTCCCTGATCCGCTTCCCGGCGGCGATCTGCAGCCGATCCTCCCTCCCGTCGCCTCCCACCCTCGTGACCAGCTGCTGCTGGCGGTGGCGGCGCGTGGCTGCCGGGACCCATGTGCTCTTGACGTGTGTCTGACAAGTGAATCCCCGGCTCTTGCAGCAGGTCCGGCAACGGAGATGGTCGCAGTCCTTCTTGGCCTGATTCCCGCAGTCCTGGCAGCTGACCCCCTCGCCACGCCTCGTAACCCTAAAACCCCCGTGGCTCGAACCCTGATCATCACCAGTACCACTACTTATATTATTATTATTATTAGTATTATTGTTTCTTCTAGTGGTGGTGGGGCCTACGGAGAAGTCGCCGTCGTGAAGGTTATGTTGTTGCTGCAGCTGTAGTAGGCGGTGGTTGTGGTGGTGGTGGTGGTAGTAGTGCTGCCACAGCTCGAAACCTCTGCTGTAGATCTCTTCGTTCTTCAAAAGGAAGAGGCTTGAGCTGCTGCTGTCCGTCGGATCTTTGTTGTTCTGGTTAAGATTGTTGTCAACACCTAGCGAGAAAATCCCCGACATTTTTGGAGGCGTAGGGGCTAATAATAATAATAATAACAATAATAAGGCTAAAAAAAAAAAAAAGCTAATGAGGTGAGTGTGAGATCCATAGCAGCAGGCAGGTAAAAGGGGGCACTGTGGGTGGCCGGACTGTAATTTTCGGAAAGTAGTGGGCGTGTTGGGATATTTTGATAAAAGGGTTGTTATGTAAATTCGAATTTCTATCTATACGTATCTTTGTATATTTTACGTATATAAAAAAAAAAAAATTGTTGAAACAAATAATTGTCTTTTTTCAACGCATGACAAAGACAATTTAAGTTTTTGCACAATGGTTAATTTCACCCCATAAAGTACAAAGACAATTTTGCTGAAACAAAAAAATAATAAAATTCCTATGAAAGTATATTCAAATAGAATTTTAACGACAATTTCAATAATATTTTTCAATGTTATTCTCTCCGTTTAGAATTTTTCAATTGATTCCAACGGAAATTCTAACAAAAATATTTCGTTAGGATGAATTTTTTTTTGGCTCTTTACGATTTTATCGGTAGATTTTCCAACGGGGGTGGAAATAAAAATTCTAATGGTAAAAAACAGTTGGAATCGTCAAGTTTCATTTAAAATTTTAATAAAAAACACACTCCAAAGAAATATTTTGGTTGGAATCATTCCAACAGAAACTATACTATTGGAATATCCGTTAGAAACTCTTTTGGAATATATTATCATATGATTTTCTGTTGGAATATAACATTTATTTATAATGCAATTTGTCTTTTTCATCGCAGTATGACAATATATTAAGTTCTTGCACATTGTCCGTTTATAAGTTAATTGAGTACAAAGACATTTTGCGATAAACATTTGACAATTGTGAAATTGATATATAGATATGTGATAATTATGCCGTCTATTCACATAATCACTTGCACTTTCTAAGGTGAAAATTGTTACCGCGAGAAAATGGCGTGCGAGGACTATGCAAAGTTAATTATGCAATTGATATGTGACAGAAAATTATGTGATTTTTTAACATAACCTTCATAATTTGTAAACTGAAAGAGCTAAATTGTCCAGAAAAAACTTAATATATGTTGGTATGGCTCATATATTGACAAAGGAAAGGGGCAGGCTGATGCCTGCGAGCGTAACGGAGCGAACGTAGCGAGGGAAGCGGAGCGACCGAGCGAAGTGAGCGGAGTGGAGCGAGGGGCAGAGCCCCCGCGGTACGGTACAGGGTATTTAAGTAATTTTATACCTTGTAGGGTTTTAGTATAAATACATGGTGTATTGATGTATTTGTGACTATTGAGAATAAAGAAAGATCCCTCAGCCGCCGTGGACGTAGGCATATTGCCGAACCACGTAAATCTTGTGTCGTTTACTTTCTCGTTTTTAATTCGTATGCTATATTGTCATCGTTTCACAACAATATATAAAAAGTTTTTCCCAAAATAAAAATAATAATAAAAAAATTGTATGAATTATGTAGTGTAGTGGGAGATGCAAGACTAGTGAGTGGACAATTCTGAACCGTCGCTGTTAATTAATATTAGGCAAATCTAGGGGTCTTGCCGTCTTGCAACTGTATTTTTAATATATACTTTTTTAAATTGAAGTATCACATCACATAAATAAAATAAAAACATATTATATATATATATATATGTGTGTGTGTGTGTGTGTGTTTTTTTTTAAATTGAAATATCATATTTTGCAAAAAATAACATAAATAAAATAAAAACATGATATTTCACTGTATTTTTATCAAAAATTAATTAAGCACGAAAGTATTTATATTTTATCATTTTTTGTAATATACTGATTGTGTGTGTGTGTGTGTGGTGTGCAATTGTGATTTTTGTGTGGATTTGGTCTCTAATTCTCTATTTACAATTTCTGTTTTAGGTTTATATCAGACAATTTACAGGGAAATGTTACATTCTTGTTACGATACTATCTCGTCGGGTATTTTAATAGTTAAATTCACATGTAGTTAGATAAAAAAAGATAATTTAACGATTAAAACACCCGACTGGATATAAATGAAATGTTTGTCTAGGGCAAGAGAAAAATAAAAGGGTTAATTTTTAAATAAACTTTAACCTTTTTGCGTTTGTCAATTTTATTCTAAATTTTGGGTAATTGCAATATAATCTCGACATCAATTTACTTATTGCAAGTCGAACTTAAAACCGGTTGGACCTTCAAAAAATTGGTCGATTTGAAGACGGTTCGAACAGATCGGAGCTCATATTTATCGGTTCACTCCAGATCTAAGAGGATACTCATCACCGTTAGTTTACATTGACGTAGAATTTTCGGCTTTGTGCGTGGATATACATTAAATACGTGGATATTGTCAACTTGCTACGTGGATGTCATAAAAATCCGTGTCAGTCTATGGACACAAAATCGATCCACTAATCCGTAAAATCAATCACTCTGCACCAAATATTGCAATAAGTAAATTGAGGTCGAGATTATATTGCAATTACCCAAAGATTGAGATAAAATTATCAAACGCAAAAAGGTTAAATTTCATCTCTCTTTCTTCGCCTTCTCTCTACATTTCTTTGTATGCTTTCTCTCTCTCTCTCTCTCTCTCTCTCTCTACATTGAATTGAATGAATCCTCCTTTGCCTCAGTTTTGTGGGTGACTGGGTGCATTAAAGTCACAACGGCTCTGAAAACGCCGCCGCTACCCCCTCGAAATTCAAGGCACAACTCTTCTTTCTCTCTCACACACAAACACGCACTCTTTCTCTCTCTAAACAACCTGTGTTAACTTGTAGTTTGATTTGTGCTTTCTTGCCAGTTTTCGCGCAGTTTGCAATAAAAGATCTCGTACGTACGGTGCTCAAGGTACTGATCACAGCCGTTGCATGTCAATCGACGGCCAGACGTGCGTCCACGTGTCGGCGCACCAGCTTTTGCTTAATCCTCCTTGCACCAGAAAACACGCTCTACTTTTTTGTTTTTCCGTCTCACAGTCTGACCAATCCCATAATGATTATTTTTACTGTATTTATTATTGTTATTATTATATTGGGCTTTTGTGTTCTCTCCTCTTTTTATTTAATTTTTGTGAAAATGCTACGATTCTGTTGTAGAATTATTTCGTCGAAATTTGTAACTGTTAAATTCTTTATCTCTGACGATCACATGATAATCTAACAGTTAAAACCCCAAACAGAATGGTTTCCGTAGCAAGATCTTAGTATTTCCTCAATTTTTAAAGTTAATTATACCCAAATGAGGAAACAAAAGGGAACGACTATTTTAGTTGGGAAAACAAATCTAATACTCTTTGCTATTTTTTTTAAATGTCATTCTAGCTTTATCAACTATTTGTCAAATAAATATCGTTTTGGATCTTTTCTACATATTTTTTCATTATTACCCTCATTTAGCTAATAAATACATTACGTCTTTTCATATTCACTCTTTACTTTTTTCTCAAAACATTCATCTCTATTTTCATTAAATAAGATTATTATTGACAAAAAAAAAATATTTTTAATTAACGTGCAACTTCTCAAAATGACATATATTAAAAATAGGAGGTATAGTAGTTATTACTATTTCTTTTACTAATTATTGAGAAATCAGTTTCGGTGTGATAGTGGAAACGTCACAGCCGCGGAGATTAGCATCCCGTTACTTTTCCAGTTCTCTGGGATACTCGAGTGTGTACTGAGAAAATCTCTCGGGTCTTCAATTATTTAGTATTTAGTTGTTTTTTGTGTGTTTTTTTTTAGTTTGTTTAGTATTTGGGTGTTTTGTGAGTGTTTTTGTTGTGTGAAATGTGTTTAATTAAATTCTATCTTGAGGAGTGTGTTATTATCCTGTTAGGAACTCCTTATTTTTTTGTAATGCAGTGTGCGTTTTGGTATCTAAGCTGCCTTGAGTAGTCCTCCTATTTCGACTAGTTAGCCAATTGTAATTAACTAATTATATGTTTTAGTCAATAAATCTACAGTTTGAAAAAAAAAAGATAGCTCACTAATGTCATATCTTGATCGTTCTTATAAAGTAAAACCAAGATCTCGTGAACCTCCATGACACCTAAATTTGATTGAATTTATTTTATAAAGTGAGTTATTATTTTTTTTAAGAAAAATAAGTGATTGAGTTTTGGATTGAGTGAAGGGTTAGAGCTTGTTTGGGTAACAATAATTGAATAAGATAGTTGCTTGCACTGATGTGAAGGCATCTCGAGCCCTGCGTCAGGGTCATCTTTCAAACGAGGATAGACCCTCCTCCGTATACGTCCTTTCAATTAATTGACCATAAAACCATTGAGAGTTTTTTCTTCGAGAAATGCTAGATAAATCCCTAGTGCTATAATCCAATTCCTGTTCAGTCCCCAACATAAATTTTTTACTCTGCACTCCCTACTAATATTAATCATTTTCCTTTCAACTCCCCATATAAATACTAATACTATTATTATTCATTTATTTTACCCAAAAATCATAAAAATTTGAAAAAAAAAATCAGATCTCACTCTCAA